GGGTACACCCTGGACAGGTCGCAAGTCCATCACAATTTACATTATACAGTAAATTATAATTCAATATAGAGAAGCCTAATTTAATATCCTGTCAAAAACTGTAAAAAGTCCCAATTTGATAGTTCTGGCTTTTTTCAAAACATAGGTTTTGCACATCAACCATTTTTGTTGAGAAAGTTCTCTTTATTCAAAAAAGTTTGTCTAATAAAGTAGGTGAGCAGCCAAGGCATGCTRGTCTCTAGCCTCTCCAATGCTAAMACAAATGAATCRTCTCCTTCTCATTTGCCAGCATCTGCCTCTCAGTTATCGGGGCCAGCTGCGCAGTTAGCAGTGCTGGTCTATCATTAACCAGATYTATAGCTGGCTTAGGAATAGATRTAGCCTCCTGCAACCGCTGGTTGTGCAATRGTCTTAATTTTGGCCCTCATGGTGTTCAGAACTTTTACACAAAACCCCACTTCAAAATAGCTAAAATATATTTTTTACAAGCAGGACAAGAGACATTGTTTCCACATCTTGATTTTAAAGGTACTGTAATTTTTTACTTAAAAATGTTTAATTCAGCTAAGTGGTCACAACAATGACTGATGTATAAAGAGCTGCTGGTGGCAGCTTTTTGTTTTTAAATAGAAGCACTGATTAYTGTTGGAACCTGTTGGATTCAAACAACAAGATAAAGTCTTACCGTTGTCAGACCTGACTCCCTCCTGCTATGCCTCAGTTTGACGGGAGGGGAGGGGAACATGGGCATCGGGGGCAAAGCTGAAATGTTTACTCTGAGCTCCCTGCTCCCTGACCGCCTCTGGAAATCTGATAACATAGAAAAACATGACAGGCAGGCTATAAGACRTACCAAAAATATTTATTAAAGAGCATTTTACTATTCAGTTTGTTAAAATAAATAGAAAATATATAAAATAAAAGAAAATTCTGATTGGCTGTTTGAACTCTGTCCACATGTTGGGCTGCAYTTGTACAAAAAAACCACTTGGGGGCAGAAGAAGATAAAAGTTCTACAAAGTTAAAGCAAGCTGGGATTCATCAACAACAGTCTTTTACAACAGAAGGTCTTAAATGGAAGTAAAATGAAACAGTGTTTATCTGTTGTGTGTGTGTGTGTGTGTGTGTGTGT